CCTCCTCCTCTTCCTCCTCGTCCTCCTCCTTCTCTTCCTCCCTACCGCGCAGACGAAGACGAGGTGGGGGTCACGACCCCTCGTCGGAATTGCGCTGTTCATGCAGTCGGCCTCTTTCCTGCTGCGCTGTTGCACAGGCGCCGTGGCGGCGTTTGACGCAGGCAATTGGAATCTCCTTTGGGAAAAAAAAAACATAAACTCGACTTTCCCCGTTGGGGTTATCGACGCCCTTTTCCGTATTGCAATTTACACACGATTTCGCCCCATCGTCCATCCTAAATATGAACTCGAACCATCCCATGCAAGCCGGTATCGACCCCCCCCCGTCATCCTCTGCACAACAATTATGAGCGCACGCTCGATTATCACAAATCATCAGTTTGCAACAACCCCTCGCAACAAATATGACGACGTGTACACGCACGCGTCGTCGCGCGCGCATGCCGCAATCCGTCAAACACCTTCGGTATCGGACGGGTTTCAAAATCGAGTGCCCAAAGCATATAACCACAGATGTTTTCGCAACGCGGGTGTTCAAAACAAGTGCGCGCGCGCTCTTGCGAATTCCAAGCAAACCACAAGTTTTCAACGTGTTCCGAACATGTTGTCCAATGGGTTTCGCGTGCGCGTGCCGAAATCGTTCGAACGCCCTTGCGCGCGTGTCGTCTTGAGAATCATTTTGCAACAAACGGGGCGACATGCACGCGCGCGCGTCGTCGCACGCGCATGCTGACAACCTTCGAACCAGCTCAAGTTTCGGAGAAACCAAAACCGAATACCAAAACGCATACAATAACAAATGGTTTCGGAACAGCAATTTTCACAAACGCGTGCGTTCGCGCTCTTGCGCGTTCTTAAATCAACCATCGTTTTGTTTCAACATGTTCGCGGGATTTTACCAATGCGTGCCGCTCTCGCGCGTCGGCCGCGCGCGCATGTCGAACTCTTTCCAAAACCTCCACCACCGACGCGAGGACGCCGTCATCGTCGTCGGCGTGATCGGCATCGGCGCCCGCACTGGCCGCGCCTTCGTCGGTGCGAACATCGTCACCAACATCGCTATTATCATCCTCGTGCCTACCGTTGTCGGCGTTGCCATGATACCGCGCCCGCCCAAGTCGCCGACTCGCAGTGAAGTGTCCGCTGGGACGTGCCCAGCGGTCAGCGCCACCGCGGCCGCGTCGGTGGCGCCAAACTAGCTGGCCGCTGCGCGCGCGTGCTAGGGATGGCGCGGCCGCAAAGATGCACCAGCCAACGCCTTGCATGCATCGCAATCGCCGCCGCATTGGTTTTGCAGACTAAGTTGCGGGTGGGTGGACGGGATGTTTGCAAGAGCGTGGGATGTGTCAACTCGTTTGTTTGAATCAATTCTCCTTTCTGAAAAGAGAAGACTCTCCCCCCCCTGGCGTTGTCGGTCCCCCTTTCGGGTATGTAAATCACATATGATTCTGACAGCATGTCCATCCTAAATATGAATTTACACTATCCCAGGGGGGCGGGTTCCCCCTCCTGAGGTTCCCTTGTGACAAAAAAACACTGTGCGGCGACACTTTTTTGTTCTAGCATATCATTATTTCACGAATCCCTTGCAACAAATGGGACGCAATGCGCACGCGCGCGTCGTCGCGCGCGCATGCCGAAATCCTCCAAACAGTTTTGGTGCCGGAAGGATTTCGCAATCGAGTTTCCAAACAACATAGAAAAACACAGGGTTTCGCAACACTGATTCGCTAAAAAAGCTTCCGCGCGAACTCTTGCGAAATCTTAAGAAAACCATCGGCTGTTCAAGATTTTCACAAAATGCTAGTAAACGGGCTTCGCGCGCGCATGTCGAAATCTGTCGAACGCCCTTGCGCGTGTGCCGTCGCGAGAATCCTCTGCAAAAAATGAAACGAAGTGCACACGCGCGCGTCGTCGCGCGCGTATGCCGAAAACCTTCAAAACCCCAAACCCATCAGTTTCGGAAAGATTTCAAAATCGTGTCCAAAAAACCTACAACAACACAAGGTTTCGCAACACGGATTTTCAACAAAAGCGTGCGCGCGCGCGCTCTCTTGCGTCGTCGTCGTCGTCGACGCCGTCCTCCCTCCTCCCGCGTCGTCGTCGTCGTCTCCTACGTCGTCCTCTGTCTCTCCTCGTGTTCGTCGTCGTCGTCCTCTTTGGCGTCGTGGTCGTTTCCGTCGTCGTTGTCGCCGTGGTCGTCCTTCCTCCTCCTCCCTCGTCGTCGTCGTCGTCCGTCGTCGTCGGCGTCTCGTCGTCGTCCCTCCTATTTCGTCGTCGTCGTCGTCGTCGTCGTTGTCGTCGTCGTCTTCCCTCCTCCCTCGTCGTTGTCGTCGTCGGCGTCGCCGTCCTTCCTCCTTCTTCGTCGTTCGCGTCGTCGCCGTCCTCCCTCCTCCCTCGTCGTTGTCGTCGTTGTCGTCGTTGTCGCCGTCGTCGTCCTTCCTCCTCCCTCGTCGTCGTCTTCGTTGGCGTCGTCGTCGTCGGCGTCGGGTCGTTGTCGTCGTCGAAGTCGTCGGAGACGTCGTCGGTGTCGTCGTAGTCGTTGTCGACGGTGTCGTCTTAGTCGGTGTTAAGAGGTTTTGCAAACCAAGTTGCGGGTGGGTGGGTGGGATGTTTGCAACAGCGTGGGATGTGTCAAATCATGGGTAAAAACCAATTGCACCACATAGATCGCACCACACATATTTACCCACGCACTTTGCAGCACATAGATTGCACGATGTGTTGTTCGCGCCTGAGGCGCCGCGTTCTTTCATCACTTACAGCACCGATGGCATTCTATACACAGACATACATACACACAGACACACATATATATATATATATATATATATATTGCCAGTTCGGCGTATCACACTGCAGCGACAGACTTCGGAACAAGTCACAGCAGCTCCCTGGTGGGAATCGCCCGAAGCCAAGTAAACTACAGTTCCACTGTGCCCATTGTCACCTCATCACCTTTCCTGTATGTTTGTCGTCCTAACGGCATCCTCGGATGATCCAAGGCGAAGTTCAAACAGCATCCTCCTCCTCCTCATTCTCCTCCTCCTCCTCCTCCTCCTCCCAACGCAGGACGTATGCATTCAGGAATCGGAGACCCATTGAAGCAGCGTCCAATCGACCGACCGCCGCCCGCACCGTCGCCTCTTCGCCATCGCCAGCGCGTATAGTAAGGATGTGCGATAAGGATGCAGGGGCCTTGGAAGGCCATGCCGACACTTTTCGAGCTGGGCGCGGCCAGCGAAAGTGGTCAAGGATGGGCCGACGGGGACACATGCAAGGGCACCCTCGGAAAATCGCTCATCCTTACTATCCGTGCTGACTGTTTACTGTATTCGCCGTCGTCGTTGTCGTCGCCGTCGTCGTCACCGGAGCATTGTTACCACGCCATGCAACGCACGATCGCGAACACACTGCCGCATGACTTGTTGCAGGCGTGCATGCATGTGTACGTCTGCTGCGCCATCTGTAGCCGCCGCGGCTCGCACCTCTAGAGGTCGTCCGACGCGTCCTGGAGCCGGGCGAGGAACAGGCTGCGCAATCACAGCTCGAGGGCTCTTTGGCCTCCTCGTGCTGCCGCCGCCGCCGGAGGAGTAGGAGGAGGAGGGGGTGGAGGAGAGGAGGAGGAGGAGGAGGAGGAGGAGGAGGAGGAGGAGGAGGAGAGGGAGGGAGGAGGGGGAGGGGGAGGAGGAGGAGGAGGAGGAGGAGGAGGAGGAGGAGGAGGAGAGGAGGAGGGGGAGGAGGAGCCGCCGCCGCCGCCGCCGCCGCCGCCGCCGCCGCCGCCGCCGCCGCCGCCGTCGCCGCGTGCGCGGCGGGGGGCCGCCCCGTCGCCGCGCCGGGCCTGCGTGGAGCCCGGGCTGGTGCTGCGCGAGAGGTCCACGGGCGGCGGCTGCCGCGGGGCGGCCGCCCTGCCCGCCCCCCGGGAGGAGGCGGCGACGAGGGGGCTCGCATTAAGGGGGCAGACAAGCCTACAGTCGAGGCGTTGACCCAAGGAGCCCTAAATGAGGAACGAGGCCCCTACTTTCCACAAGTTCAACTTCGATTTCCCATCGAAGACGTAGGGAAAGCCTGAGGCAAGCTGTGAAACACTCAAGGAACACGGAGCCCCTCCCCAACGAAAAGGGTTCCTTCTTCAGGGCCCCGACTGTACCTCGCTTTTGACCACCCTCGCTTCCAAGAGACACCAAGCGATGCCAAACAACGGCCTGTGCTGGTCAGGCCGCTTGGTTGAGGAGGCGCGTGGTATGACTACTTGGCTTTGCGTGGAAGCGAAAGCGGGGTAGGTAATTCACGCTCTGACTCATGCTCGGATCTTCCCTCCCTCCCTCGTCCTCCCTCCGTCCTCCCACCAAGTGAATCATCCCGCGCAGACGCTGGCGGTCACCACGGACCCGCTGCTCCAGGAGCTCCTCAGAGATGGGTCGGCAAATGCGCGGTCCGCCAGGAAACAGTCTCTCGCCACAGAGGACCAGATCAAGGTCGCTACGGGAACGTGGAAAGATGCAAAACTGCGGCACGATCAAGCCGTGACGGCCGTGGTCAAAGCCGTGACGGCCGTGGTCCTCGTCCTCCCTCCCCGTGGTTTTGGCTGCGGGGTTTGCGCCAACAAGTTGGACAATCGTCCCCCCCCTCCCTCCAGCCCTCCTGGATCCTCTACAGTGCCCAGGAGCCGAGCGATGATGTGCTTAGCTTTGGGAACCCCTCAAGAGGCCAAGCTTGTTGTCGGGGACTCCAGCGGAGGCAGAGATTCCGAGGATCCCCGTCTCCGCAGGGTCGGCGATGGCCTGGTTTCTGTTGCTCGCTTTTCCCCGTTGCAAATGCGTGTTGCATACCAGGGCCGCTAGCCGGCCCGAAGCAATCTGTCCCACGGGGCAAATGAATGGCCTTAATCTTAGCAGCAATTAGCAGTAATGTGCAGCAGAGGCTTCACTGTTGTTTGTCACTGTATTACGAGCCAGTTCGCGTAGGATGGAACGGCAAGCGCTTCCTCACGGCACAGGGTGAGAGCTGATATGTGTGGAAGGAGCTCGGCGCGTTGCAGGCAGCTCCCTTTGTCCCCCCCCCTACCTCCCTGCCCCCGCCGTGCGGGCAGGGCGGCCAGCAGCATGTCCAGGGAGAAGCAGTGCCCCTGCCCGGGAGCTCCCGCGGCCGCCTCCGCGGGCAGAGGGGAAGGGGGGGAGGACAGGGAGGACAAATGGGGGATGCGGACGAAGAGAAAAGAGGGAGAATGGGAATACGTGGCGGGAGGAGGAGGAGGAGGAGGAGGAGGAGGAGGAGGAGGAGGAGGAGGAAAGGGAGAGGAGGAGGAGAGGAGGAGGAAGAAGAGGAAAGAGGGAGAATGGGAATACGTGGCGGGAGGAGGAGGAGGAGGAAGAGAAGGATATCTATGACAAGGGTGAAAAGGGAGGAGCCGGAGCGGAGGAAGAGGGGCATATGAGAAGGACGACGACGGTGAAGGAGGCAGAAGAGGAGGACGGAAGATGAGAGAGTAAAGGTGAACTCTGCAGATGCGCGGCTGTCTGGATTTCTTTTTAGACGATGGCCGCGGCGAAAGTCTCATGGATGGAGACGCCCCACGGGCTTCCAACACTCCCGCGCTCGGCTGGCCACATTTCGCTTTCGAGGCCACTGGGGCGATAGCGGATGCAGGCACGAAGCGGGGAAGCCCACCTGTGCCCATGAGCATGGTGCCCCAGCGATACATCATCGCTGCGGACGGATGCCCAGACGGAAGACGGATACAGTCGTGGGCTTGACCGAAGGAACCCAAAATAAGGAACGAGCCCCCTTTTTTCCATGAGTTAAACTTCGATTTCCGATCGAAAACATAAGGAAAACCTGAGGCAAGCTGCGAAACACTGAAGAAACGCGGAGCCCCTCCCCAACGAAAAGGGCTCCTTCTTCAGGGCCCCGACTGTGAAGAGGCTTGGCGGGGGGCGGGGAACCGAAGACAACTGTGAACAAAAGAGTGCACAGAACGAACACGGAATGTGCGGCGCCACTGCACTTTCGCAGGGGGAGAGGCGAGGCAGCAGAAGACCGCACTGGAGAGACGGGCACGGGGCAGGCGGAGGGGAGAGAGAGAGAGAGAGAGAGAGAGAGCAGGCAGGCTCTCGCAGGAGTGCGGAGCAGCGTGGGAGCGAGGACAACCCCTGGAAGACGAACGCAAGCTGACGATGCATGCCGTTCGATAGGAGCAAGAGATCTCGGAGAACCAACGGGTCCTGCAGGCGACCTGTCAGTCGCCGCGGCCGCCGGCAGAGCGCTCTCGGCACTGAGGGCGTTCCAGAACGCTCTGGGACGAGGTAACCTCATCCTATGCCTGCCTGACCGCCTTTGTTTGGGGACAGCCTCTAAACATACCAGAAACCTCCCCGCTGCGAGACGTTGAACGAAAACATGTGCGGCCGCTGGGGACAGGGTCTTCCTTTAAGTCGGGCGTGTCCCCCTACAGGGGGATTTTCGACGAAAAATTAAACATACAAAAAATACTCCAACATGGTCAAACAAAACAAAAAATGGTCCCCTGACTATTTGTTGTTTGACTATTTTTGAATATTCCCCCTGTAGAGGGACAGGCCCGACTTAACCCTAGGACGGGGGGAAATCACGTCGGGCCTTGCAGGACTGGGCACTCGAACGGCACGCGAGCAAGGGGGTGTGGAGGGAGAAAAGGTGTTTTTGTGTCCAGATGGGGGTTTCGGTGTCCTCGATGAGTGTTTCTGTGTCCAGATAGGGTGTTTCTGTGTCCCAGTGTATGTGTGTCTTGGAGTGGGTCTGGGTTGGGAGTTTCTGTGTCCCAGCGCGCCTCTTGGACTTCCTCTTGGACTTCCCAGAGCCTCTTGGACTTCCCGACAGAGCCTCTTGGACTTCCTCTTGGACTTCCCGAGAGAGCCTCTTGGACTTCCCGACAGAGCCTCTTGGACTTCCCGACAGAGCCTCTTGGACTTCCCGAGAGAGCCTCTTGGACTTCCCGACAGAGCCTCTTGGACTTCCCGACAGAGCCTCTTGGACTTCCCGAGAGAGCCTCTTGGACTTCCCGACAGAGCCTCTTGGACTTCCCGAGAGAGCCTCTTGGACTTCCCGAGAGAGCCTCTTGGACTTCCCGACAGAGCCTCTTGGACTTCCCGACAGAGCCTCTTGGACTTCCCGACAGAGCCTCTTGGACTTCCCGACAGAGCCTCTTGGACTTCCCAGAGCCTCTTGGACTTCCCGACAGAGCCTCTTGGACTTCCCGACAGAGCCTCTTGGACTTCCCGAGAGAGCCTCTTGGACTTCCCGAGAGAGCCTCTTGGACTTCCCGAGAGAGCCTCTTGGACTTCCCGACAGAGCCTCTTGGACTTCCCGACAGAGCCTCTTGGACTTGACCGGATCCGGCAAATTTTGGGGATGCCAGCTTGTCGAATTTGAACCCTTTTGGAGGGCTGACGAATTCGTCTGGCGTCGGGTTTGGGGACTGCCAGCCCGTCGGCTTTGAACCCCGTTTTGTGGGGCGGATCC